TAACACTACCCTTGACAACACATAGACTATGATTAAAAGTCCTCCAAAAACAAGGCCTCCAGAAAAGGAACAACACACATATGCCACCACCGTCGCATATATCCAATAAAAGCAGATCAAGAGTTTTCACTCCCAAGGAGTGAGTTTGATAGCAGGATAATTTACATATGATAAATAGTAACAAAAATAATAGAATACAGAAAGTGGCCCATTTTTTATGTATGCTAAGGACAGGCCGGTAGCGCTTCTTATAGATGAGGCCCCCAAAGGGCAAGAAGACGGGGAAGGAGGGCAAGGCTGCCCCCCAAAACGAAGGGCTTGTGGAAGTGCTCGACGGTCACATAGAAGCACATCACCGAGCTCCGGGGCTTGTGGATATTGATCCCATGGTCTACAGTGACTGACACGAGAATTTTTTTTTTCAGGCGCCTGTCGAATAGAAGGTCCCTTCCCTCCCTTTTTTTGTTTTGTTTTCTGGAAAACATCATGACACTCACCAACATGAATACACGGAGAAAAGCACAATAAAACTCAACCGAACACCTCCAACACGTGAAATTAATTATTTTGACAAGCCAAGAACGCCGCACATCACCAGATACGCCATACATCATCATACATCATAGTACTAGTTAGAATCTAGCAGCTTATTTCACAACGCGATGGAAAACATCAAACTAACTGAAAGCCACTACACACTACCCAAGTCCAATGCTAGCACGTTAAGCTTCTGTGCTTATTAATCGACCTGACCGTAGCTAGTTCACCACACGGCAGTTACGGCGGACCTCGCCGGCGTCACGGCCGCCGGCCGGCGCGAGCCTCCCCATCCGCAGCATGGAGGCCGCGAAGTCGTCGAAGAAGAGCGCCGCGTCGAAGGCGTAGTCGGCCACGAGCGCCGCGACGTCCTCCGCCCCGGAGCCGGCGGGCGCGGCCAGCGCCTGGTCGGACGGCAGCAGGCCGTCGCCGGAGAGCAGGTTGATGTAGTACTGGTTGTCGAAGGTGGCCGGCGTGGCCAGGTCCAGGTGCGCCAGCGCCGACCCCGCCGAGCCCGCGCACAGCTGCTGCAGCGACTGCAGGAACCCCGTGTCCTTGGCCGACTCGCCCACGCTGGCGAGCCGCGCGCTGAACGTCGTGCACCGGGCCTTGCCGATGGTGTGCGCGCCTGTGATCGTCGTCGTGCACATTACAAGAATATACAATTGTAATTTCTTTCTCTGCAGAAGTATGTGCGATGATTCAACGACGGGACATTACCGGAGAGGGCGACCATGTCTTTTGCGATGAGGCCGACGTTGGTGAACTTCTGCACGAGCGTGGCGACGCCGGAGGTGGGCGCGGGGAGGTTGCTGTTGGCGGCCTGCAGGCTCGCCGTGCGGCTGTCCTTGCGGCCGGTCTCCACCTCCCAGCTGGGTCCACCAGACTGCATGCACCGGCCGGCGGCCATCCAATCCATTAGTGATGGTTAACGTGAGTGTGTACGCCCGCCGTGACCAGTGTATCATAAGCAAGCCGAAGTATAACATACGGCGACAACGGAGTCACGGGCGGCGATGGCGAGGACGTCGGCGCAGGAGACCGTCTCGGGGCACTCCTGCTCCAGCTCGGCCTTGATGGCGTCGATGACCTCGAACCCCCTCAGCGAGTTGATGTTCGGCCCCGCCGTCTTCTCGCCGACGAAGAACGGCTTGTCGTCCAGGAGCACAGAGCCGTCGCAACCCTGAGAAGCAAAGCAACAAGAGGGCAACACACTCACAATGGCGAGACTAGAGAGCGTGCGCCGGAAGCTCTGTTAGCAGCTCCTGGAGTACGTACATTGACGAAGCAGTCGTGGAAGTGGAGGCGGAGGAGGGAGGCGGCCATGCGGGGGTCGGCGGCCACGGCCTGCTCGACGGCCGCGCGGACGATCTCCTCCGCACGGGGGCAGTCGGCGTCGAGGGACACGCCGGCGCCAGCACTGGCGCCGGCTCCGCCATACCCGATGCTCACAGAGGCGCCGGCGCTGCCGGTGACGCAGGACTTGTTGACCGGGTTGGCCCCAGCGGAAGCGGCCAGTGCAGCGAGCAGGAAGGCCAGGGCCATGGTGGCGCGCTCCATGGCAGTGTCAGGAGAGGCTGCTGCAGCTGGGGTGGTCTTCGAGTGACGCGGTCGATGAGTCTGTGCGCCAGTCGCTGGCCAGTATACCTTGTGGTGATGGTGATGAGGATGGAGATTCATGTGGTCTCGGTCACGTTTATATAGGAAAGAGAGGGAGAGCAGGTGAAGTGGCCGCTGGTCATGCCTTTTGCGTGACAGTGGAATCCTTGGTCCTAAGTTCTGACCTTGTGTACGTACAGTGCTACTCATTGGAATGTGCTGTACAAGAGAATCATGGTGCATATTTTGGTTTCGGAGCAGACGTCGAGGACTAGTGGCCTAGTGGGTGCGACCAATTCCAAATCATTTGGGATACATGCATGCATGGTAAGTTCTGGCTGCCCAAAGTGCATACTGTACGTGGAGAGTACCAGAGGTAGACATACTTGCCCATCATGTTCAAATAAATCACAAACTTGAAAATAATGCGTGGTGGATAATTACATTGTTCCTTTCGCAAAGAAAAAAAAGGGTAATTACATTGTTCCTTTCGCAAAGAAAAAAAAGACATACTTGCCCATCATTGTTCCTTTCGCAAATCATTTGTTGCAATTCTTTGCAACAAAGACATTGTTGCAAAAGGCTCCTTCGCAACATGAACATTGTTGCGAAGCCTGCGAATAACTTTTAAAGTCCTTTGCAACAAGCGGGATGTTGTTGCAAAATTCTGTTTGCAACTTAATCCTTGTTGCGAAAAACATCCATGCGTACCACGGATCCATGATGATGTTTGCATCCTGCGAATGCACGGTAGTGGGGTGCTATGCCTATGCATGCATGCACAATGATTCACCGGATGGGGTTGGCAGCAGGAGCAATGAGAGCTGCATGCACGGTCTGGGCTGGTGTGTGCATGAAGCGGTCAAATTTACCTCGAGGTGGATGTGGATCGATAGGGACGCGCACTGTTGGATCGGCGGAAGCTCATCATTGGTCGCAGGGTACGTACGTGTTGGACTTGGAATTACTCGCGCGCGCTAGAGAGATTTCACTCGCGGCGACCGGGTCTTGCTCACGCCGTTGGGCATGCATGTGCAGGCTGACCGATCCTAGAAAGCTTCCTCTGCGTTTGCGTTTGTTGAGTGAGGGGCCGGGCCAACTAAACCAGTGCGCATGCACGTACGAGCGCGCGTAGTCGGTGAACCGTCCAGCGGGCACGTATATATGCTACAGCTCTATGGGAAATGCCGTTGGTTCCCGGGTATACACACTCGATATGGATTTATTTTTTAATAATTTCGTAAAACCTCATAAAATTTCACAACTTTTTTCGAGTAACTTGGCTTTCTTTTGCACTAGTATATAAATTTTCAGGAAGGAAATTCTGTGTTCACTTCTGGGCAAAGAAAAATAGAACCTATTGCTATATAGTACAAGTTATTGTTCACACCTATTTGTCCTTTAATTTATTTATTTTTGCCCTGAAGTCAATTGGGTTTTTCTTTTGTGATTTTTTTACGAGTACGATAAAAGGTCAAGTTTATTTCGAAAATTATATTTAGAATTTATTTTACTTCTTATTTAATTACTAATTTTCATATAGGGTGTATATACATCCAGGAGCCAAACATTCTTGTCTTCGAGTTCCTGATTACATTTAAATCATTGGGGTACCGAAGTCTTCATCTTGTTGTATCCACCGGTGCCTCGCCGTGAGCATGACTCTTTGTCGCCTCTGGTCCTCCGTCTTGGCGGAGAAAATTTATGTAAATCCAAAAGCATGCAAAAGCAGTGGCCAGAAAAGTCGCCGTTGTAGACCAAAAGTCGCTGGGGAATGCAATCGGTCAAGCAAGTTGCCAACTAAAGAAAAAAAACTAAAAAGAGCTTGTAAAAACCCCGGAGACCACGACTCCCGGTCGAATCCAAACAGATCCACCGGAATCAATTCAGACTGGATCCTAGAAGACCTATCGAAGACACATCCACATGCACTCTGCCGGCGATAAGCACACCAACAAAATGAGGATAGGGCGGGGAGGACATTATCCTTACACTAGGACAATGAAGCCACCTCGCCGCCACAATCTAGTCGCATAGACACCCTAAAGAAAACCTGAACCAAGTTGCCCACGCGGTTGACATATTACAGTTATACTATCATTCAAAATTCCAGATAAAAACAGCAATGACTTGGTTGAGTGGGTATGCTCATTACTGGAGATGACGTAGAAGACAAGAGATCAAGATAGAGAATGACACCCCTCCCGAAAGATGGAGTAAGATAAGGCAGGTCGAAAGGTCTCATGCTTTGTAAGCTACCGTATATCTTGAACAAAATCTCTTTCTTCAGTCACAACGAGAAGTAATATTGTATTTTGTGTGAATAGAAAACAGATTCAACACTTTATATCAAAGTCAACCAACGTTTTTATCTATAGCTGAATCTTCAGATATTGGAACAAATTGAAGTATTTATGTACCCGCATAAAATATGCCAACAAATTTCTATCAATTGCAAAGAAATAATACCTCTACGGTGGCTTCTCAATTACCGATTAACCTTTGTTTTTTTCTTCTACGAAAATAGGGAAGACAATAAGCCTCTACACCAAGTGATGCACACAGTCTATCCCAATTAAGCTTGATGTGTTGCCATAATTAGCAGTTAGGGACCTACGTTCAACCAAGTTCTTCAAACTGTTGTATTTGCATCTATACTGGTTAATGCACTCCATTTTTTTCTTAAAATGGATGTTATCAAGATCCACGGCTGAATTAACGGTGCACATTCATTTTACAATGATAGCCACATAGAGCTTATTTATCATCGTGAGATCGTTACACTCACTCAATGCCTGCATCACTCACTGCCTTATTCCATGGTAGAGTAGGTATGTGACTGCGTATCTCCTTGGAGGCTTCATTTATGCAGCCATGGCACGAACATGGCTTGCGCCACCATTGTGCTGAAACTTGGAGACCGCACAATCCGTCGAGAAGAGGCCCGATGAGAAGTACTTTGGCGTGCCACCCATGATGGGCATTTTGGCTGTGACATTCATCTTATTGACGTAGTTAGACCGGTAGGTTTGGCCGAGCACGCCATCGACAACGTCGGTGAGGGAATGAAACTTGAAGCGAAGGTCAAGGTGCACGAGACTGTCCTTCGCGGTCTTGCCATAGCTGTGGATCTTAGAGTCCTCGTCCGTGATCGGCACGGCGTTGGCCGAGATGCTGAACACATTGGCGAAATCCACCTTGATGGAGTTGACAATGTCTGTGCGTTGCACGGATAGACAGGATTGGACCTTGGACACCCACTGGGCATTGTTGGCGGTGTCTATATTGATGGGCTCCCCATTGAAGGTTATCTCAATGTGGTCCTCGTCCTCCTCCCACTCGACAGCCTTGCGAGCGCCTACAAAGAGGCGGTGGTCGCCGAAGGTGACACCGATGGCTTGTATCCATGTGAAGTTCCTCTCATTGACGGGGTTGTGGTTGCCGATAAAGTGCGCGTTGATGTGGAGATCGACGTCGGAGACGATGCAGAAATCCTGATCCTTCCTGCCATGGAAGTAGTAGGTAACACCGTCGCCACCGGTGAAGCTAGGGTCGCCACACGAAGTGCCTGGAAACTCCACACACCCTACATACACGGATCAAACTCAAAGGTGTATAAATCGACACTAATCCAAAAGTGAAATTTAAATTTGGTATGCAACATATTGATCGACATATGAATATATACTGGACGTACTACATGTGGTCTCGCAGTAGCTGCATGACATGGAGCAGGACTTGGGGCAGAGGTCCGGGCACTGCGCGATGCATGTATCACCCCAGTCGTCTTCGCAGGTGAAGATGCGGTTGGGTTTGTTGTAGTTGACACGGTAGGGTTGGCCGTTGGCGTAGGAGGGGACCTGGGACTGGGGAGGCGGGGTGTGGTGGGAAGGAGGAGGGGTGTAGGGAGGATGCTGGCCCACGACGCCTACCGCAAATGCCGCCACCAGAAAGAAGCACCAGCCTACCAGTGCCCGAGCCATTGTTGCCACGACGAGGGTGGTCGATCTAGATGAATATTGCAGTGTGTGTATCAGTGTATGTGTGTGTTGTTGTTGTGTGGCAGCTATAGTGTTAGCGAGGGATATCTTATAGGAGATGGATGGCTGTGACTTTAACGGAAAGGTTATTTGGAGGGCAAGTGACTTGTTTGGGAAGTGCCGTAGGGCAGGAAAAAGTACTAGCAACTTGCTGGATGGAATTGACTAAGTCAGGGTCTACCATCTAGTTGACATACATATATATATGGCCAGCTAGATGTATGCATAGCCGTGATATTTGCATGCACGTGCAGTTTATAATGTAAAAATAGCTGCCGACAGGTACTTTTGCTGCTCCTTCACATGATCAAGGCAAATTATTTGTGGCACACTCACTTGATCCACCGGATCAGCATCTGTTTGTAGTTTCCGAGGGAAGGGTTGATTTGTTCAAGAGGTCAAAATGTTGGTTCATGCTGGAGAACTGAAACCATTCCATTATATATCGCCATTCTCATGGATTCTCAGGTGTGTATATATATAGATGACATGTCGTCAAGTAGAAGGAAAGAAATCAGGATATAATGAAGCCGCTCAAGAAAGATAGAGAGAGATAAGAGAGGTGAACGAATCTTGGAACGATATTCATTTTCTAAATAAACACGTGTGAATAAATTTCAAGCAATTGTAAAGAGAAAAAACAAACCTACGGTGGCCTCTTGCCGCCCAACCTTGTTGCCACCTTTACTCATGGTTGGCGACCCACGTTCAACGCCGATTCTAGGAAAGCAAGCTCGATTGAGCAACCAGATATGGGGTTTACTTCCCTGCAACAAAAAGATAGGACGCCGATAACGTCCACACTTGTGGGTGTTAATGGATCTGCCCACATATTTTGTGTGGTGTCTAAGAGTATCAGCACACACGCATACGTGTGGGCGAAACAAGTAATGTCCGCGCGTTTTTTTTCCGCAATCCCTCTCACATGCCTACGTGTGGGCAAAATAGATAACGCCCACACGCCCGTACATCAGGCCTCCTACATCATGGTCCCACACACCCCGCGTGACAGTCACCACGCCCTTCGCAATTGTCATGGTCCGGACCCTCTTTCATGTTCGTTTAACTGCACTTGCCATGTCGCTGAACTACAGTTGTCATGTCGGACAACTATAGTTGCCATGGTTGCTCAACTGTAGTTGCCATCACAGGTCAAGTGCTAGATGTTTTTTTTGGACAACCGCAACTGTTGCCATGTATGGTTTGGTTTACTATAGTTTCCATGATTTGAAAACTTTAGGGGTTGCCACCTACTAACACTAGACAGTTGTCATGTATGGTCTGGTTTACTACAGTTGCCATGATTTGAAAACTTTAGGAGTTGCCACCTACTAACGCTAGGCAGTTGCCGTGTAGCGCTACAAAAAGACATGGCAAAATAATATGTTCGGGTAAAGAGAGAATTGTCATCTGCTTACAAGCACACTAGGGCAGTTGCTATGTACCCTGCAAAACACATGGCAACTGACATGTTCGGGTAAAAGAGAGAGTTGACATCTGCTTACAAGCACAATAGGGCAGTTGTCATGTACCCTGCAAAACACATGGCAACTGGCAGCTTTGGGTGTGGAAGAGGAGACGGGCGTGTGGGCGAACTGATAAATGCCCACACACTAGCCCCTGTGCGTGAGTGAAAACTGACGTGTGGGCGAACTTGTAAACGCCCACACACGGTCCCTCCGTGTGGTGAAAATGGACGTGTGGGCAACCGGATGAATGCCCACACACCAGCCCAGTCCTACGTGACACCACAAACATGCCAAGATTCGTGCAACCACAAATAGACGTGGATTCATGCATGTGGACGAGATGCAAACACCCACACGTGTGGGCGTTAGTATTTCCGAAAAGATATGGGGTTTAATTCCCTTCCAAGATTTTGGAAAATGTGATGAAATCATTACTGTTACAACTATATGCTTGCAAGAAAAACAAGAAGTGCATACAAAGGCTGAGCTCCATAGAGCTCTTTGTTTATTTTTCAGCGAAAATACTATTTTCACACATTGAAAAAATCTAAAAAGAAAGTATATGTATAGATGTATATTTGTAGTATACAAGTATAAATTTTCATGAACATATATGTTCATATGTAACATACACAGAAAGATAGATACATAGATTAAAATGGTTTTTTCTTTGTTGTTTTTGGGCCAGATATTTTTGTGTAGCATGCAAATAATCAAATTACTTGATGAAACTTTGTACATACCTGAAGAACATGCATATGTATTTGTATTAAAAAAAGACATTTTTTGAATTTTTAAATATATTTTGGTTTTTTAAACGGGCTCCATGGAGCCCGGCCTCTACAATGCCGCACTCTGCATTTTTTTGGCTATTATACATATTAGTTTCGCAAAGTAGGGCGTTTTGGAGGTCGAGCGCCATGGAGGCCATTTTTTTAAATGAACTTTTCAGTTTAAAAAAGATCTGAAAAACAATATACATATGTACAAGGATGTAATGTATATGTGCGTAAAATTTCACGATGAAATACCTTGAATTGCAAGCTGGAAAATATCATGGACTTTCAGAATGAACAATGCATGTGCTGAAAAGTCACATGTTTTTTTATGTAGCTCCCATTTCAATGCATTTTGTGATGCAAATTTGCACACAGGTACATTATGGTGTGTCGGTATATGTGTATTTGTCATGGAAGTATAAATTTTGAGTTTTTATAAAATTCGCCTCCATGAAGCTTGGCCACCATTTAGCATTTTCGGCGAGGGTCGTCCAGTTGACACAGTCCTACAGTATGTAATTAGCGCTAGACGAGGATGTCTGCTTTATGGGTGTATATAAACCCTATATGAGGAAAAAAAAGTAATTAAATGAAAATTAAAATATTTTAAAATAAACTTTACCTTTTATTGTACTTTTTAAAAATCCAAAAAGGAAAAAAAACGTTGACTTCAGAAAGAAAAAAAATTAGGCCAAAAAAGTGTCAATAGTGACTTCTATAGAACAATAAAAATATTGGAACTGAAGTCAACAGCAGTTTTTTATTTGCGAGAATTTATATACTAGTGCAAAAGAAAGTCAAGTTTATCCCAAACAGACATTTAAACTTTGTTGGATTATTCTTTCCCATATAGGGTGCATATACACCCAGGAACCAAAGGGCATTTCTCACTAACCATGTACTTTCTCCGTTCCGAATTATTTATCGTAGATATGGATGTATCTAAATGTATTTTAGTTCTAAATATATTCATTTCTGCGACGAATAATCTGAAACAGAAGGAATACTATCAAGAAGATAGCCAACTGTAAAGAAGCCGACATCATTTTGGTGCTTCCGCGCGTCGGTGACTACCAGTTGCCGACTAGAGCATGTAGCGATGACCACCTAGGCGAGAGAGAACAGAAGCATGGCCCCTTATTTCTCTTCTCATAAAAACAACGGGCCTCTGTTTCCCACTATTCAGGCCCGTTCGCATATTGGCCTGTTCGCCATGTTGGTGGATCTTGGGCGCGCATATGTCTCGCTTATAGCATATAGTGAGATGTAGGGCAGACTGGCGTTTCCTATTTGGCGCTGCAGGCGCCAGTTATAGCTCATTTTGCAAACTGGCGCCTGCAGCGCTGGGAGCTGGGCCGGCCCATCTAATATTTTCTTTTTTTCAAAATGGAAAAGACGAACCGGCGACCTCCTCCTACTAGCTGGGATGCACCAACCACCGCCCTAGCAGACCTCAGCTGAAAAAATTCATCTTTCTACCCTTTTCATCGTTCCTCTTTTCTTCTCCTTCTTCTTTTTCTTCCTTTTTATTCTTCCTGGTTCGCATACTTTTTTGTTAAAATGGACGAACTTTCTTAAAATTTGAGAACTTATTTCCAAATTTGATGAAATAATTATTAAATTTCGATGAACTTTTTATAAAATTGGTGTTTTTTTTTCAATTTCGATTAACTATTTCCAAATCGGAAAACTTTTTTTCCATTTTTGATGAACTTTTTTCTAAATCTATGAACTTTCTTCAAAATCGACGAACTTTTTTCAAAATCAGTGAAATATTTTTCAAATTGGATGAACTTTTTTAAAATTCGATGAACTTTTTGTTCAAAATCGGTAAACTTTTTTCAAAATCGACGAACTATTTTCAAAATCAATGAACCTTTTGTTCAAAATCGGTGAACTATTTCCAAACTTATGAACCTTTTTTCAAAATTTCATGTACTTTAATCCTAAATTTTGTGAACTTTTTTCAAATTCGTGATATTTTTCTCAAATTCATGATTTAGTTCATTTTGTACGCACATTTTTCAATTTTATGAACTTTCTCAAAATTCACGTTTTTATATGGTGCATTCATTTTTTATTTTATCATAAAATAATATGCATAATAGGCTGGATAAATAATAAGGATTATTTGTCCTCAAAATGAACAACTAAGGAAGTACGGCTAGGTTGTGTTTGAAGATTTGGTTGCAGGAGGTGCGAGTTCGAATCCTGGGTCCATAACATTTTTTTGCTATCCGCGCTCTTCCCTCCGTTTCTTGGGCCGGCCCACGACGCGAGGCATGCGACCGCCGCTATCGCTAGCCAGCGCCTACCGCCTACAGCGCCGAACAGGAGCTCCCGGGAAGACTCGCCTGAAGCGAGTGTTGTACTGGACCGGCCCAGCGCACGAGAGGCAAGCCACAACCTCATTTTTCTCGGGGTTCTCACATTTTTATGTTTTCAATTTTTTTATACTTCCAAATATTTTAAATATATTACAAAAATCGCATTCATTAAAACAACGCTCGTCATATCGTTGTGCCATAATTTTATGATGGGTCTTTCGTTTTAAAAAATCAGAGCTTTTCGGGTCTAGTTTACTGATCCGTCCATAAATACGTATGAAAGTTGAAATAGTTTATGTGATGGATGTGACCGGTATCAATCAATGAAACAGTGGCTCTATGCAGGATTTCAATAGAATGAAATACAT